TGGAAACCCCACGTTAATCCGTCTTGACAGCGGCAAGGAGAGGAGCGTTTTCTTCCGTATCTGGCTGTTTCCTTGCTGAAAAATAACAAACCCTGACACGGACACAGGCACAGTTTATGGCCCCTTCTGGCTCATCCGTCTTCATCAGTCCCAGATTAATGCAAAGGCAGCAGCCTGGAGAAGCCGGGGCAGTGTGTTTTCGACCTGAGGTCTGAGGTCTTTTGCCCATTGGGAAGCGCATGCCTTGTCGTGGGATGCTGGTACATGAAGTGATTTCTAGTTTCCAAATCATGACCTGCTGAACTGCTGCAGGCTGGATAGCAAGTGTGTCCAGAAGCAAGCAAAATACAGCAGAGAGTCCGTTCACATCACAAACATGCTTCAGCCCATCTATTGGCAGAATCCAACTACCAGCATCTGACCTTAATCTACACACTGTTTAGTAAACTCATGGATTCAGATTTTCATCCAAAATATCTGGAGGCTTTAATCCTCACAGTTATAATGTTTACAAAATGTAGAAACAGGATTCGCAGATCCACTTGCAGCTTGTCATTGCAAACAATCAGAGTCATCAAATAGTTATATACTGTCATAAGTTCTGCAGTTGAGGGTGCTTGGTGATTGAAGGGTTAATATAACTCTTAGTTCTAAAGGGTTTAGTAATTTGTAAGTAAGAGTTCATGGGTGAAAGCAATTAAGGGTGGAGGTATGCAAGAGATAGGTTGCAAGCTGGGTGTTTGTGGATATAAGGAGTGAGCCTTGGGACTGATCTTCGGGAGAAAAGTATTTGTCATATTTTGGTGGTGGATGCTGCTGGTTTTTCCCCCAGATCTGTTGGATTTTCATTATCCTGACCTGTCTCCTGTAATCTTGGAACCTTGAACCTTTGGACTGCCTTTTGACTACAGTATAGATTCTTGATCCCTGGACTTTGTTTATTGAACCCTCGGTGTTTGACCATTTATTTATTTATTTACTGCATTTGTTGACCGCCGTTCTCAGCCCTAGGGCGACTAACAGCAGACCATGGGACTGGACCCTTTGATTAGGGTGTAGCTTTTGCTATCCATTTTACTTTATTCTGTGGCTGAGTGCTATCTTTATGTTTTATATTTTGGTCTATTAAAACAGCCAGCAAGTAAGTGCTGTTTCAATTAAACTGTTCTATATCAAACTGGGTTTTTGTTTTATTCACCTCTGCTGGAAATAACAGCAGAGCCCTGGCAATGGGACATATACAACATAGGCAGATACTCACACCGAGTCACACAGGAGAGAGAAAGATGGATTCTTTCAACTTCCTTATATAGTCACTTGCTGATAGATCATTGGTAAAGGACATTAGCTGATGCAACCCCTGTTTTTGAGCAGAGGCTAGATGGCCATCTGTCAGGAGGGTTTGGGTTGTGTTTTCCCACCTGGCAGAAAAACGTTGGACTAGATGGCCCTTGGGGTCTCTTACAACACTGTGTTACTTTGGACTTCAACTCCCCCAAAAGTTGTTGTGGGATGGGTTTGTGAAATGATTCCAAATCACAACCTCCCTGAACAACTGCACTCTGGATAGCAAGTGTCCCAGAAACAAGCAAAATACAGCAGAGTCCTTTCTCAGCAAAAACACGCTTCAGCCTGTCTATCAGTAGAGTCCAACTGCCAGCATCTGACCTTATCTAGATACTGTTTACTCACAGATTCAGGTTTTCACCCCAAATATCAGGAGGCTTTAACCTTCATTGTTGCAATGCGTACAAAATGTGCAATCAGGATATGCAGATCCTCTTTCAGACTTGTCCTTGCAAACAGTCAGATCTCAGATAGTCACTTACAACATAGGTAGATACTCACGCTGAGTCACACAGGAGAGAGGAAGATGGATTATTTCCTCCTCCTTATATAGCCACCTTCTGACAGGTCACTGTTGAACTTCGTTTTGTTAGCTTTGGCCCATCTCTCTAATCTGTTAAGATCTGTTAAGATCGTTTTGAGAAATGGGCCAAAACCAAAAGTGACAAATGCAAGATACTCCACTGAGGCAGGAAAAAGGAAATGTAAAGAGGTAGAATGGGGGACAATGCCTGGCTCGAGAGCAGTCCGTGTGAAAAAGATCTTGGAGTCCTCGTGGACCGGAAGGTGAACATGAGCCAGGAATGTGATGTGGTGGCAAAAAAAGCCAATGGGATTTTGGCCTGCATCAAGAGGAGCATAGTGTCTAGATCTAGGGAAGTCGTGCTACCCCTTTGGTTAGACCACACCTGGAATGTTGTGTCCAATTCTGGGCACCACAATTGAAGAGAGATATTGACAAGCTGGAATGTGTCCAGAAGAGAGTGACTGAAATGGTTGCTTTCTTTAACAAGCCCTATGAAGAGAGGCTTAAAGAGCTGGGCATGTTTAGCCTGAAGAAGAGAAGGCTGAGAGGAGATAGGATAGCCATGTATAAATATGTGAAAGGAAGTCACAGGGAGGAGGGAGCAAGCTTGTTTACTGCTTCCATGGAGACTAGGACGAGGAACAATGGCTTCAAACTACAAGAAAGGAGATTCCATCTGAACATGAGGAAGAACTTCCTGACTGTGAGAGCTGTTCAGCAGTGGAACTCTCTGCCCCAGAGAGTGGTGGATGCTCCTTCTTTGAAAGCTTTTAAGCAGAGGCTGGATGGCCATCTTTCGGGGGAGCTTCGAATGCAATATTCCTGCTTCTTGGCAGAATGGGGTTGGACTGAGTGGCCCATGAGGTCTCTTCCAACTCTTTGATTCTATGATTCTGTGAACAAGCGTGTCCTTTGCGGGGGCCGTGTACAGCCACCCCTCCTTTCCCATCACTTGAGCAGCATTGAACTTGACCCGTCAGCAAAATCCAAGAGGCTGCAGAGCAGGCAAAAAAGCTCATTATTTTTGCACCGCTTTTGTGCCTGAACTCCATTTTGGGCACAAAGGCCCTTCTGTGAATAAAGCTGAGCAAACGCTGTGCTGGATCTGTGCGTCCTGGAGCTGAATAAGAGTCAAGGAAAATCTCTTTGCAGGACACGTACTCTCTCCCCACAGTAGGTCAAGAAATGGAGGCTGTGCTTTGGGATTTGGGCCGCAGGAGGAAGGCCGTTCCCGGCTTGTTCCTCTTTAGGATAGCTGAGCGGAGGCTAGAATGAGCCTGTGATCTCTGGAAAGATGGGGGGAAGTATACCCATTATTGTTGTTGAAGGCATTCATGGCCAGAATCCCTGGAATGCTGTGAGTTTTTCAGGCTATATGGCTGTGTTCCAGCAGCATTATCTCCTGACGTTTCACCTACACCTGTGGCTGGCATCTTCAGAAGTTCTGATGACATGAAGCAAGTGGAGTGTATATACATACCTCTGGAATAATGTCCAAGGTGGGAGAAAGAACTGTTGGGTTTCATCCCTGGACTGCACAAGTCTCCAGTCCTCAATGAGTAGTTAGACTTAGATATGGGATTAGAGTGAGGGATTATTTTCCCCACATTCCTATGCATTCTTTTCCCAGAAGGAGCTTTGCCTTAATTCTTCTTGTTTCCCAACATCTCCTCCCCCTTTCCAGTTGACAAGCTGGAATGTGTCCAGATGAGGGTGACTAAAATGATCAAGGATCTGGAGAACAAGCCCTATGAGGAGTGGCTTAAAGAGCTGGGCATGTTTAGCCTGAAGAAGAGAAGGCTGAGAGGAGACATGTTGAGGGCCATGTTTAAGTAAGTGAGAAGAAGTCATAGGGAGGAGGGAGTAGGCTTCCTTTCTGCTGCCCTGGAGACTAGGACGCAATGGAGCAATGGCTTCAAACTACAGGAAAGAAAGGAGATTAGGAAGAACTTCCTGACTGTGAGAGCTTTTCAGCAGTGGAACTCTCTGCCCGGAGTGTGGTGGAGGCTCCTTCTTTGGAAGCTTTTAAACAGAGGCTGGATGGCCATCTGTCGGGCGTGCTTTGAATGCAATTTTCCTGCTTCTTGGCAGAATGGGGTTGGACTGGATGGCCCATGAGGTCTCTTCCAAATCTATGATTGTATGATTCTATGTAGCAATGGAATCTCTGAAAGATGGGGTAACTCCCTCTTTAAAGGTATTTTTATTGCCTTGGCTATTGGCCATGTGATCATGCTGCATTGGCCTCTCTCTGCCTTTGTTTTCTTTCCAGTGAGGACACATTTTGCCTTTCTCCAGGCAAAATGTAGCTGTATAGATACTTTTGATATTTTATCCTTTTACCTTCCTTAGGAGATGGGCTTAGTAAGCTAGTGAGCTCCAAGACCCTTGTCTATCTAGAATTGATTTCTTTTTAGTTCAATAAATATATTTTATTTTATTTATGAGGGTTACTTTTTGAGCCTAACAACAACCCTTGCCTGTTTAAAGCAAGTGTGAATGTTGCAATTAGCAAGCCTCAATAGCATTGAGTAGCCATGAAGCTGCAAAGTCAATCTGCAAGGAAGGAGCCTGGCCTTTGTTGCCTGGAGTATCCTCTGTTTGGGGGGTATTAACTAGCACTTGATTGCAGAAATCCTTTACTCTTATTTACTTGTATGGATGTGAATGTTGCAATTAGCAGGCCTCAATAGCATTGAGTAGTCATGAAGCTCCAAAATCAATCAGTGAGGGTATCTGCAAGAAAGGAGCCTGGCCTTTGTTGCCTGGAGTCGTCCTCTGTTTGGGGGCTGTTAACTGGCACTTGATTGCAGAAATCCTTTACCCTAATTTACTTGTATGGGTGTGAATGTTGCAGTTAGCAAGCTCGAATAGCATTGAGTAGCCATGAAGCTGCAAAGTCAATCAGTGAGGGTATATGCAAGGAAGGAGCCTGGCCTTTGTGCCTGGAGTCATCCTCTGTTTGGGGGCTGTTAACTGGCACTTGATTGCAGAAATCCTTTACTCTGATTTACTTGTATGGATGCACATGTGAAAAACTCACAGCAACCCTAACCTCTATGTGTGTGTATTGCAGGCTGCCTAATTCAAGCCTCTCTCTCTCTCTTTGCCTTTTTTTGTGCCGTAGAACACGTCTGTTCCATCTTGGCCTCCCTCCTGAGGAACCTTCGGGGTCAGCAAAGGACTCGGCTGCTCAATAAGTTCACAGAGAACGACAGTGAGAAGGTGAGAGGAGGCGGGATGGCTGGGAATGGGCCTATTTTGGACTCTTCAGTGGAGCTTTGCAGAATTGGGGGGGGGGGGGCAGCAAAGCAGATGTCTATGCAGACACTTGCACAATGGCACTGCATTCATGTATGTGGCTGACTCCTGGATGGTCTCAAACACTCACCAGGGCTGACCCTGCTTGCTTTCCAAGATCTATACCAGTGGTTCTCAACCAGTGGGTCCCCAGTGTTTCAGCCTACAACTTTCAGAAATCCCAGCTACTTTACCAGCTGTTAGGATTTCTGGGAGTTGAATGCCAAAACATCTGGGGACCCACAGGTTGAGAACCACTGCTATAGAACCTATCTTGTATATAGTTAGTGTAGATCAGTGTTTCTCAACCTGGGGGTCGGGACCCCTGAGGGGGTCGCGAAGGGGTGTCAGAGGGGTCGCCAAAGACCATCAGAAAACACAGTATTTTCTGATAGTCATGGGGATTCCATGTGGGAAGTTTGAGCCAATTCTATCGTTGGTGGAGTTCAGAATGTTCTTTGATTGTAATGAACTATAAATCCCAGCAACTACAACTCCTAAATGTCAAGATCTATTTTCCCCAGACTCCACCGTGTTCACATTTGGGCATATTGAGTATTTGTGCCAAGTTTGGTCCAGATCCATCATTGTTTGAGTCCACAGTGCTCTCTGGATATAGGGGAACTACAACTCCCAAACTCAAGGTCAATACCCACCAAACCCTTCCAGTGTTTTCCGTTGGTCATGGCAGTACTGTGTGGCAAATTAGGTTCAAATCCATCGCTGGTGGAGTTCAGAATGCTCTTTGATTCAGTGAATGAAAATACATCCTGCATAGCAGATATCTACATTATGATTTATAACAGTTGCAAAATGACGGTTATGAAGTAGCAACAAAAACAGCGTTACGGTTGGGGGTCACTACAACATGAGGGACTGTATTAAGGGGTCACGGCATTAGGAAGGTTGAGAACCACTGATCTAGATGGTCCTTGAGGGCCTCCTAAAGTCACTATATAGATCTAGACCAGAGGTTCTCAACCTGTGGGTCCCAGGTGTTTTAGCCTACAACTCCCAGAAATCCCAGCCAGTTTACCAGCTGTTAGGATTTCTGGGAGTTGAAGGCCAAAACATCTGGGAACCCACAGGTTAGGAACCACTGTTCTAGATAGTTGTTGAGGACCTGCTAAGGTCACTCTATAGATCTAGATGGTCCCTGAGGACCACCTAAAGTCACTATATAGATCTACACCAGTGGTTCTCAACCTGTGGGTCCCCAGGTGTTTCAGCCTACAACTCCCAGAAATCCCAGCCAGTTTGCCAGCTGTTAGGATTTCTGGGAGTTGAAGGCCAAAACATCTGGGGACCCACAGGTTGGGAAACACTGTTCTGGCTATCTAGAGGACCTCCTAAGGTCACTATATAGATCTAGATGGTCCTCGAGGACCACCTAAAGTCACTATATAGATCTACACCAGTGGTTCTCAACCTGTGGGTCCCCAGGTGTTTCAGCCTACAACTCCCAGAAATCCCAGCCAGTTTGCCAGCTGTTAGGATTTCTGGGAGTTGAAAATGAAAACATCTGGGGACTCACAGGTTGAGAACCTCTGATCTGAACGGTATCCTGTGCCTTGCCTTCATGGCTGTGCATCCTTTCTTCCTGGCAGCATGCTTTCCTTTCTTAGCTTTGCAACCAGCCGTCTGCTGAGGGCATCTTACGGCCAGCCAGGCCTCCAAGTAGCCTCCAGGGCCCCAGTGGCGGCTTTGTGAAAAAGCAAAATTGAAGATGCGAGGCTAGGAATCGCAAGACACAACAGGGCTCCTGGCGCGGCCTCATGCCTTGTGTCTTCCCAGCCTCACTCATGCCTGGCTTCCCCGATTATGCGGCTACTCAGCATCAGTGAGTGCCATTGCCTTGGGCTCCCTCCCTCCCTGCTTCCCAAAGGCCAGTGCCCACAGTGAGCAGATTAAACGTTTGGTGCTTCCAGTGGCCTCAAAGATAATATTGGCTCAAACTTCCGTGCCTGGTTTGGAGAATCAATTAGAAGAGCGCTGGGAACCCAAACCCAACGCTTCCGGGGGGACTTGCCGAACGCCTCCCTGGGGAAGGTGGCCTTGTGTTGGTTTTGTTCTGCAAAGAACAGCAATTAATGAGCCCGTGCTGCTTTTCAAAGTCCTCCCCTTGGAGAGGCAGTAATTAAAAACTCACTCTTCCCCTGGAATTTCACAAATGGAGGAGGACAAAGAGGCCCTGAGAGGGGAGGGCAGTGGCAAAGGGACATAGCGCCTCAAGGGAACTGGGACTCAGGGACACTCAATCTCCGAAGATCAGGAACGCTTGGCTTCTGCTGCACCCAAGAGAAGGAAGCTCTTCCTCATTTGGAGAGGAAGAGGGAGATTAGAGACTTTTGGAGACTGTGCATGAGAAGAAGATAGAGAGGCGAGGAGCAATTTGGAAGCTTAGGGCAAGGAAGTGCAATGGTGCTTCTGGTTGGGACTCAACCTGCGTGTGAACCTGAGCCTGAATCTTTGATTGTATTGCCTAATGCTGATGCCAATGTTGATGCCAATGTTTATTTATTTTATTTATTTATCGTGTCAGGGCAACCAGTCGATTATATTACATTTCTAACATAACAAAGCAAACAAACAGACAAAATACGAAAATTGTGAGTTTGGTAGTTGATTAAATGTCCTTTGACCAGTATCTGGCCACTTGGAGTGCCTCTGGTGTTGCTGCAAGAAGGTCCTCCATTGTGCATGTGGCAGGGCTCAGGGTGCATTGCATGCAGCAGGTGGTCAGTGGTTGGCTCTTCTCCACACTTGCATGTCGTGGATTCCACTTTGTAGCCCCATTTCTGAAGGTTGGCTCTGCATCTCGTGGTGCCAGAGCGCAGTCTGTTCAGCGCCTTCCAAGTCGCCCAGTCCTCTGTGTGCCCAGGGGGGAGTCTCTCATTTGGTATCAGCCATTGGTTGAGGTTCTGGGTTTGAGCCTGCCACTTTTGGACTCTCGCTTGCTGAGGTGTTCCAGCGAGTGTCTCTGTAGATCTTAGAAAACTATTTCTAGATTTAAGTCATTGACGTGCTGGCTGATACCCAAACAGGGGATGAGCTGGAGATGTCTCTGCCTTGGTCCTTTCACTATTGGCTGCTACTTCCCGGCGGATGTCAGGTGGTGCAATACCGGCTAAGCAGTGTAATTTCTCCAGTGGTGTAAGGCGCAGGCACCCCGTGATAATGCGGCATGTCTCATTAAGAGCCACATCCACTGTTTTAATAATACAGCATGTCTCATTAAGAGCCATGCGTGGTGAGATGTGTTCCACACTGGGCATGCATACTCAGCAGCAGAGTAGCACAGCGCAAGGGCAGATGTCTTCACTGTATCTAGTTGTGATCCCCAGGTTTTACCAGTCAGCTTTCGTATGATATTGTTTCTACCGCCCACTTTTTGCTTGATGTTCAGGCAATAAATCAATAGGTCAAGAGCACGGTCCAGAGTGACTCCCAGGTATTTGGGTGCGCTGCAATGCTCCAGTGGGATTCCTTCCCAGGTGATCCTCAGAGCTCGGGATGCTTGTCTGTTCTTGAGATGAAAGGCACATGTCTGTGTTTTAGATGGATTAGGGATCAGCTGGTTTTCCCTGTAGTAGGCAGTAAGAGCACCTAGAGCTTCAGAAAGCTTCTGTTCTACCATCTCAAAGCTCCCTGCTTGAGCGGTAATGGCACGATCATCAGCATAGATGAAACTCTCTGTCCCTTCTGGCAGTGGCTGGTCATTTGTATAGATGCCAATGTTGATGCTAATGTTGAAGTGATCAATGAGGACGAGGCTCAGGATGGAGACACTCTGGGCAGTAAAAATCATACAGGCTTTGATTTAGAGGTTTCAAGGGAAAAGCCAAGTTCTCATGAGAAAGTTTCTGTCAGACCGAGAGAAGAAAATTCACTCCCTTCTCCTCCTGGCCCGAGCTTGCAAAATAACTTGACACCTGGTCGGGTCAATGATAACAGCCGCAGTTTGGAGATAAGCCAGAACCGCAGGGAGGCCCAATGTTTATATAGGTCCAAGAGAATCCGACAAGTGAAACCAAAGATTAGAGTTAACAGGAATCCGTTTTTGGGATTTAAGAGTAGCCGTGAGGGGGATTTCCTCAGACTAAGCATCATTTAGTATCGAGTACAAACTTCCTGGGTTTTCCAGTTTCCAGTGGTCTGGTCTCTAAGGGAATTTCTGGCTGCAAGTGAGGTTAGCAGGGCCTAATCTGCTCATGGGTTTCTATCGAGAGTTTTCTGGACACTACTGCTTTGGATTTTCTGCAAGCTTTCTGGACATTGCTGTTTGCTGTTTCATTTTGGCTTTTTTGCCTTTGGAGTTCTATTTTATATTCATCATTCAAGGATTGTATTTTTCCTAAGCCAAGGTGTGGTGTATTCATGACAAGAAGGCCCTGTTTCCTGATCTGGAGTGCAACACTTCCGGGTCTTTTTGCTCAAAATCATTTTGGCAGGGAAGGAATGACTTTGAAGCCAGGTGTGTTCTGAGTCCCATGGGCCCAGCAGACAAAGGGAAGCCATTTCTCCTATTGGGTTCAGCTGTGCTTGGACTGGTTTGGCCGAAAGCTTTGCCGGCGGAGCCTATCGCTTTCAGGTCCTTCCATCTCAGAGGTGATGCCACCACGGCAAGTGAGAAGCAGGTTCCCTTCCTCTGCCTGAAGCCTCTCTCCTTTCTGCTTCTTCCTCTCCTGCAGGTTGACAGGCTGATGGAGTTATATTTCAAGTACCTGGACGCCATGCAGGCGGCTGATAAGAAGATCGAAGGCGAGAAGCACGTAAGGATTCTTTGCTGCCTTTCCACTCCACTTCTCTCTCTCTCACTCTCGCTCACACATGCACCGCTCTCCTCCTCCTCCTCTTCTTCTCATCACTGGCTTGCCACTTAATCACATTTCAGGGATCAGAGGCAGAAAGACGCCAAGTGCCATCCACAGGGAACCACAGCAGGAGAGGAGCCCTGCCCTCAAAGGCCCACCTCACACTCAGGTGCTAGCAGAGCATTGAACGTCGCCTGGCATATTGATGATGGGGGTCCAGGGCTGACATTGGCTCTCAGCAAGGCATCCTTGTTGGGGTTGACCTTGCACCGGAGATCAGTCTGGCTGCCCTTCCACACTCAGAGCAGAAGGAGATTCAGGAGACCATTGTAGCACAAAGCCCCCCAAAAAGTGTCACTTCACTTCACTTAGGCGATCCCTCGTTGGAAGAGTAGGATAGTCTTCCAGGATCAGTTTTCTGGTGGGTCTGTAGGTAACTGTGGAGCCCTATTCTTGACCCACATATTCTCCCACAGTGAGGGCATTGGTTTCCAGGTGAAAGGCAGTCTCGGTCGAGGTTGGCATTGGTTTCCAGGTGGAAGGCAGTCTTGGACAGGGTTGGCTTCCTCTTGGCACGTTTCTCTCTTTCACCCTCCATTCGTGCCTCTTCAAATTCTGCAGCACTGCTGGTCACAGCTGACCTCCAGTTGGAGCGCTCAAGGGCCAGGGCTTCCCAGTTCTCAGTGTCTATGCCAGAGTTTTTAAGGTTGGCTTTGAGCCCATCTTTTAATCTCTTTTCCTGCTCACCAACATTCCGTTTTCCATTCTTGAGTTTGGAGTAGAGCAACTGCTTTGGGAGATGGTGGTTGGGCATCCAGACAATTGATAACGGAGGACCATTGCTTCAATGCTGGTGGTCTTTGCTTCTTCCAGCACGCTGACATTTGTCCGCTTGTCTTCCCAAGAGATTTGCAGGATTTTCCGGAGGCAGCGCTGATGGAATTGTTCCAGGAGTTGCATGTGACGTCTGTAGACAGTCCACTTTTCGCGGGCATATAGCAGGGTTGGGAGGACAATAGCTTTATCGACAAGCACCATGGTATCCCTACAGATGTCCCGGTCCTCAAACACTCTCTGCTTCATTCGGAAGAAATGCTGCACTCGCAGAGCTCAGACTGTGTTGTATTTCAGTGTCGTTGTTGACTGGAGAGGTGGCTGCCAAGGTAGCGGAAATGGTCAACATTTTCTAATGTTACACCATTAAGCTGTATTTCTGGCATTGGAGAGGGATTGGCTGGTGACTGCTGGAAGAGCACTTTGGTTTTCTCGATGTTCAATGACAGGCCGAGCTTCTCGTATGCTTCTGCGAAGGTGTTTAGAGTGGCTTGTAGGTCTTCTGAATGCGCACAGACAACGTTGTCATCAGCATACTGGAGTTCTATAACAGATGTTGTTGTAACCTTGGTTTTGGCTTTCAGTCTGCTGAGGTTAAACAGCTTGCCATCTGTCCAAAAGTGTATACCGTGCATAATGGGAGGTTAGGTCACTCCAAGTCAGGAATAGGATGCTGGCCATCAAGTCCTGCTTGCAGAAAAGCTGGCTAGTGTCAGAAACAAGACACAGCCCTAGGAAGGCAGTAGTCTGATCAGGCCATGTTCTCTGGTTCCATGCACAGCAAATCCTTGTGGACAACAAGTCAAAAGTGAGCCAACATGCTGTGGCTAAAAAAGCCAATGAGATTTTGGCCTGCATAAATAGGAGTCTAGTTTTTTTCCCAAATAACTTATTCTACTGATGCTCCAAAAATGATAACTCTAGCTATAACTGTCTGGGTTTAAGACGTCTGGAAGCCCAAAGCATATCTCTTTTATTTTCTCCCCTCCCACATTTATGGCCTTTTCACACTAACCTTAAGCTTGATTCTACTACTGTGAATATCTTAGGGTGATGTCAGCAGGTAGGAATGTATGTGTACATAATCGATTGCAGACTTGCACATCCAAACTCTGTATATAATAAAAAAAGATATTGTGGTCTCTTGAGAATGACAAAAATAAAATAAATAGAAGTCTAGTGTCTAGATCCAGGGAAGTCATGCTCCCCATGCTCTATTCTGCCTTGGTTAGACCACACCTGGAATATTGGATCCAATTCTGGGCACCACAATTGAAGGGAGATGTTGACAAGCTGGAATGTGTCCAGAGGAGGACAACTCAAATGATCAAGGGTCTGGAGAACAAGCCCTATGAGGAGCGGCTTAAAGAGCTGGACATGTTTAGCCTGAAGAAGAGAAGGCTGAGAGGAGACATGATGAAGGCCATGTATAAATATGTGAGACCCCTGTGGGATACGTAAGGGGCAAGTTTCCCATGCTGCCCACCCGATTAGCCATGATACATGTCATAGAATCATAGAATCATAGAATCATAGAATTGGAAGAATCCATGTGGCCATCCAGTCCACCCCCCTGCTAAGAAGGGGGGTGCATTCAAAGCACCTCCCTCAGATGGCCATCCAGCCTCTGTTTAAAAGCTTCCAAAGAAGGAGCCTCCACCACACTCCGGGGCAGAGAGTTCCACTGCTGAACGGCTCTCACAGTCAGGAAGTTCTTCCTCATGTTCAGGTGGAATCTCCTTTCTTGTAGTTTGAAGCCATGGCTCCATTGCGTCCTAGTCTCCAGGGAAGCAGAAAGGAAGCTTGCTCCCTCCTCCCTGTGACTTCCTCTCATATACTTATCCATGGCCCTCATCATGTCTCCTCTCAATCTTCTCTTCTTCAGGCTAAACATGTCCACCTCTTCAAGCCACTCCTCATAGGGCTAGTTCTCCAGACCCTTAATCATTTTAGTTGCCCTCCATAGAATCATAGAATCAAAGAGTTGGAAGAGACCTCATGGACCATCCAGCCCAACCTCATTCTGCCAAGAAGCAGGACAATTGCTTTCAAATAGGACCTCACCTGCTTTGGTCACCTTGGTAGATCCTAGTAAACTTGGAGAGACAACTCATGGGCTGCTTCTGGTTTTATCAAACATGGACTACTTGGCTGGATTGAATTTTGGGGCTGTGGTCTTCATAGTCCTTGGAAGAGGGCTTCACAGAGCCCCCCCCCCCCCCCCCATCTGTTGCTCCCTGCAATGTTCAGAAAACAATATTTCTTTTTGGATTGTTGTGGGGTTTTCGGGCTATATGGCCATGTTCTAGAGGCATTCTCTCCTGACGTTTCGCCTGCATCTATGGCAAGCATCCTCAGAGGTAGTGAGGTCTGTTGGAACTAGGAAAGTGGGTTTATATATCTGTGGAATGACCAGGGTGGGACAAAGAACTCTTGTCTGTTGGAGCTAGGTGTGAATGTTTCAACTGACCACCTTGATTAGCATTTGATGGCCTGCCAGTGCCTGGGGCAATCTTTTGTTGAGAGGTGATTAGCTGTCCCTGATTGTTTCCTCTCTGTTGTTTTAATGTTGTAATTTTAGTTTTTTTTAAATACTGGTAGCCAGATTTTGTTCATTTTCATTGTTTCCTCCTTTCTGTTGAAATTGTCCACATGCTTGTGGATTTCAATGGCTTCTCTGTGTAGTCTGACATGGTGGTTGTGAGAGTGGTCCAGCATTTCTGTGTTCTCAAATAATATGCTGTGTCCAGGCTGGTTCATCAGGTGCTCTGCTATGGCTGACTTCTCTGGTTGAAGTAGTCTGCAGTGCCTTTCACGTTCCTTGATGCGTGTCTGGGCAAGGCTGCTGCGTTTGGTGGTCCCTATGTAGACTTGTCCACAGCTGCATGGTATACGGTAGACTCCTGCAGAAGTGAGAGGATCCCTCTTGTGCTTTGCTGAACGTAGCATTTGTTGGATTTTCTTGGTGGGTCTGTAGATAGTTTGTATGTTGTTTTTCCTCATCAGCTTCCCTATGTGGTCAGTGGTTCCCTTGATGTATGGCAAGAACACTTTTCCTCTGGGTGGATCTTTGTCTTTACTCTCGTGGCTTGTTCTTGGTCTTGCAGCTCTTCTGATGTCTGAGGTGGAGTATCCATTGGCCTGGAGAGCCCAGTTGAGGTGGTTCAGTTCATCTTGGAGGAGGTGGGGTTCGCAGATTCTTTTTGCACGGTCTGCCAAGGCTTTAATGGTGCTTCTTTTTTGACTTGGGTGATGATTGGAGTTTTGATGTAGATATCTATGTGTGTGTGGGTTTTCTGTATGTTGATGTTGTCGCTCTCTTAGTCTGGAGTTGAGCCCAGGTGAGATGGATGCAGAAGAGACCTTTCTGTTTCGATGCTCTCACTGAATACCTTCCTCTCCAAACTGGATTATTTGTCCCTCTCTCTGCTGCTAGGAAAGAGGCATCATGCTTCAAAGTGAGCTTCAATCTAAACAGTTTTGATATTTATTGATTCCTCCTTGGCAGTGTCTTGGTTTTTAATTATACTATCAGTGACAATATCTTTTGTCTGGCTGATTTTCAGTGAGGTTGCTGTTATCTTGAGCCCTGTTTCTAGTGGGACAGTGGGATGCAAGCACAGTAAAGAAGGGCAACGGGCAGGGGTCTTTGCCACCCACATACCCTGTTTTCCTCCAGCAACGTGGGGGTGCCCAGTGCTCAGGTCTTCAGGTGAACCCCAACGTAGTGGGCAAAGGGCTCATTGGGTTGTTGTAGGTTTTTTTTCGGACTGTATGGCCATGGTCTAGAGGCATTCTCTCCTGACGTTTCGCCTGCATCTATGGCAAGCATCCTCAGGGTAGTGAGGGCTTATTCTTTCTTTGCCTGTTTTCAATCCTTTCTTCGGGGGGAAGCATCCACCCCCCCCCCCCTGCTCTTTCCCTCCGGAGGCGTAATTGCAGGGCCGGGGCTGCCAATCTTGCAAAAAGGGGAAACCGAGTCAGGAGATCGCTCCGTGCATTTCTTCTCAGATCTGCGAGGGGAAATTATGCTCAGCAGGTTTATTCAATAAAACGTTCTCAACGGAAACTTTGCGCCATAACGACTTACAAATTAGATGCTAATTGCGCCGCGGTTAAGTCAT